CTAGATGGAAGGTAAACGAGAAAAGATTTTAATACAAGATAAACCGGCATCACAGGTAAAAACAGAGAAAGAAGATTCAAACGTCAAATAAACATGGCCGCCACTATCCTGATCAGTAAACTGCCTTACAACGAAAGAAAGAAAGAAAAAAAAAGTATCTTTCGTGGATAAATAAAAACAATTATAAAATAAAATAATACACAAGAATGAAGGAGAAAAAATGACTGATATATTAAGTAATGATTGCAATAGAAAGAAATGATTATAGGCTTAGGAACAGTCATATTATTGGTAATAGCTAAATTCAATTACCTTAATTATCTTAAAATAATGAGGATAATTCCAATTATAAATATTGAAGCAAAAGTACTTATGAGACTGAAAAGAAATAATGAGATATAATCTTATAGAATACGCCCTGTCTATTCATGTATTTTTCCTCTCTCGCTGTTTGCTGCGTACATTTATCTGACTCCAGGTGCCAGTGTCTTCGTAATGAACGTTAAAAGACGTTTCAAGAAATCTGGAAATGAAAGACTTATTTCATGATCAGAGGACCAAAATAGTATTTGAAGAAATAGATTTAACGATAAAGCAGTAAGGCCTTAACAAAACTGGACGACACCCTTTGTCGGTATGGTTAATAATACAAGGGTCTACGGCACATAAAGTGAGGGATCGATTTTCTATTGTTATTAAGTAATAAACTGATCCCCCAACCAAATTAATGGGATAATATTGGACATAAAATGAGGGATCAGTTTTCCATTGTTATTAAGTAATAAACTGATCCCCCTACAAAATTAATGGGTTTATATTGAAAATAAGATGAGGGATCGATTTTCTATTGCTATTAAGTAACAAACTAATTCCTTTAAACAAATTAATGAAATTATATTGTCATAAATTGAGGGATCGGTTTTCTATTCTTATTAAATAGTAAGCTGGTGACCCTCAAACAAATTAATGGGATTATATTGGACATAAAGTGAGGGGTCGGTTTTCTATTGTTATTAAGTAACAAACTCATCCCCTCAAACTAATTAATGAAATTATATTGTCATAAATTGAGGGATCAGTTTTCTATTCTTATTAAGTAGTAAGCTGGTGACCCTCAAACAAATTAATGGGATTATATTGGAGGGATCGGTTTTCTATTGTTATTAAGTAATAAACTGACCCCCCAACCAAATTAATGAGATTTTCGTGTAATGGCTCGAAATTAGGAGCCGGTCAGCCAATTTCGAATTCCAGTCGAGTTCGTTGTATTCACTTACACACAAATACCCTTTTCTCCTGCCAGTTATGGATTAAAGAGCAGGACAGACTGGGTTCTATAGCCTTGGTTGGTGACCAGTCTACATGAGAAAGAAATGACAACTGACTGCGGGAAAATTTTCTGCCTCGTCATTCATGAAATGAGAGATATAATCGCCCAACCGTGTATCACGTATGACAATTAACTGTAACACGCATAAGAAAATGTAAAGTAAATATGGCATCATTTTTAACGGCAAAAGAAAAGGAATATTAATGTCAGCTGATTTTAATGTGGGCAGCTCTTATTATTATTATTATTATTATTATTATTATTATTATTGTTGTTGTTGTTATATTTCCTTTGGTTTCTGGTGTATACTCATTTCTTTCCGGGTTTCGACCAGACCCCTAAGGTCTGAAATGGTATCATGACATTTTCCATTCAGCAGTTTTGAAAAAAAAAAAAGCACATCTTTTCCATAGATAAAGCCCTTCGTAAGGTGTGGGCTGTTGTGAGTACAAGTTCTTGTATTTCCTTAAGGCATCGGTTACCAGAGATTCCTTCAAAGAGTCTGTTGGAATCTTTTCCAATCAATTCGAGGGCTCCAACTACAACTGGAAGTGTTGATGTCATCATGTGCTACATATTTGAGATTCCGATTTCAAGGTCCTTGCATTCTGATAGTTTTTTGAAGCTCTTCAAAGATACATTGCATTTCTGCAGGGACTGTCATGTCAATAATTGTCTTTGTAGTCTCTAATCACAGTGTCAGGGAGATTAGCTTTGATTGTTTTCTCTGTGTGTATTGTAAAGTCCCATAAAATTCTTACAAGTCCTATCTCTGTAACCGGGCCTGGGGGGTGTTCATACCAATTTCTTGCAACACTTACGGAAAAGAATTCCTTAAGTGTTGCAGATTTTCCAGTGCTGATATTGACCCACTCTGCAGTGCCGTTTTTTATATTCAGTGGGTGACACTAGCGCGCAGCCTGATACAAAAAAGTCAATTGTTTCTGGATATTTATCACAAAATTATTCTTATTGTGAATAAGTATTAAAAATTCTTCAAATAAATCTTTTCACTATTCTTCGATTACGTTATTTTAAATGCTTTGGTTTACCCTATTTACATTATTCGGACTATTGTCCTCATCTTTGTCGCCATGTTTATCACAACATTTCGGCTTTCATAAATAGTATACATAATACCTCATCTCAGAAATATAGACAAATACCTTGATTTAGTATTCATTTTATAAAAGTATTTTATTTTCGGAAATTTAACTTTTGAAATTTTTCTTTTATTTGAATAAATGAATATTAACCATCATTTCATATGATCTATTGATCGAGGGCTCAAAATAAAACATTCGACGGTAACCATTGATACATTTTGGATTTCAATACAAAAGGAATATCCCACATTAGAATATCCCTATTTCTTATTTATGTGAATTACATCAGCTAAAAAAATAAGAAGCTTTATCAGTTATATTGATACAATTTTCAAAAGGAATATTTCTTATTTATTGTGAATTACGCTTATCAACCCTAAATAACATCAAAAATAAGAAGCGAGAAAGACTACACTCAACAGAAGGAGAAATGGGGTGTGCTTATCATCCATTGATACATTTTGATTTCAATACAAAAGGAATATCCCACATTAGGTAAAAGGCTTTATCAGTTTAGATTGCAATTTTCTGCTTTATTTTTTATATGAATTACGGTAAAAAAAGGTTTATGAATTGCCCTAAATAACATCAAAAAAATAAGAAGCAAGAAAGACTACACTCAACTGAAGAAGAAATGAGGGTGGGTCTGCTTATCATCCATTGATACATTTTGGATTTCAATACAAAAAATAAAAGGAATATCCCATCCATGAGGTTTCAATACAAAAGGAAAAAAGGCTTTATCAGTTATATTGCAATGTTCTACTTCTTATTTATATGAATTACGCTTATCAACCCTAAATAACATCAAAAATAAGAAGTGAGAAAGACTACACTCAACAGAAGGAATATCCCACAAATGGGGTCTGCTTATCCATCCATTGATACATTTTTTTTGGATTTCAATAAAAGGAATATATTGCCACATTTATGGAATTACGCTTAAAAAATAACATTTATCTGTTTATCATCCATCGATACATTTTGGAATTTTTTATCTAATTCTTATTTATTTATGTGAATTACGCTTATCAACCATTATCAACTAACATCAAAAAATAAGGAATAAATAACATCAAAAAAGAAGAAATGAAGAAAAATGACTACGCTCAACTGAAGAAAAAAGAAATCCCAGGGTCTGTTTTATCATCGATTTGATACATTTTATGAATTCAATACAAAAAAAATAAGAAGGAATATCCCACATGAGGTAAAAGGTTTTATCAGTTATATTGCAATTTTTATCTAATTCTTTCTATTTATGTTTAATCACGCTTATCAACCCTAAATAACATCAAAAATAAGAAGCGAAGAAAGACTACGCTCAACAGACGGAAAAATGGGGGAATTACTGCTTAAAATTATCCATTGATACATTTTTTGGAATTCAATACAAAGGAATATCCCACATTAGGTAAAAAGACTTTATCAGTTATATTGCAATTTTCTACTTCTTATTTATGTGAATTACGCTTATCAACCCTAAATAACATCAAAAATGAAAAAAAAAAAGTGAGAAGGACTACGCTCAACAGAATAAGAAATGAGGGTCTGCTTATCACACATTCGACCAAATCTTGAAGAAATCCCGGAAAAAACACCAGACTCGTGTTTCACACTAAATAAGCTGCGCAAATAAGTTTAATAGAAATTGAAATAAACTAAGTTCGTATTTGTGTGTGTGTATTTTTTAAATCTATGTTTTATTTCATAACATTTAAATGTATATCCTTTAAACCTTCTGCTTTTGTGCCCCGTGATATTTTCATTTGCTCCTGGGTGTGCTGTTGCTTTAAAGGGTTGAGATACATTGATATAAATTGTCAGGTGTCCACACCAACTTACAAAGGTCAATGGTTAAAATCTTTACTGGGCGAGTGAAGCCGGTGGATCTTGGCGAATAACACATATCTTCGAACCTTGTGGACTGGCGCTATAGAATCACTGTACCAAATAACGGAAACCATATCACTCGAGGACTTTCAACGGCGGAAAAAACTAAAATGGATGGAACTCGAAGAAACAATAATGACATAATCAAGATGTTCCTCACTACTTCAAATAAAAGGTTAGGAAGGAAACCTTCATCAACACTGGAAAGAGTGATAACAGCTACCGGACTTGAGAAGAGAAAATAATGACATAATCAAGATGTTGACATTCCACACTTCGTCAAACAAAAGGTTAGGAAGGAAACATCCATCAATACTGGAAAGATTCATAACAGCTACTGGACTTGAGAAGGGAAAATAATGACGTCATGATGATGCTGACATTCGACACTACTTCAAATAAAAGGTTAGGAAGGAAACCTTCATCAACACTGGAAAGATTCATAACAGCTACTGGACTTGAGAAGGGAAAATAATGACGTAATGATGATGTTGACATTCGACACTACTTCAAATAAAATGTTGGGAAAGAAACCTCCATCAATACTGGAAAAAGTCATGGCGGTTACTGGGCATGAAGAAGATATGTAGGACCTATGTTCTTGCTGTTGGGTCTTTAAATGCCGAATGTTTCCTTAGGAGCAACCGACTAATATTATATATCTATCTTAG